ATCGAGACACAGCCGTAGGGGCCGGCCAACCAGGTCGGCCCATACCGGTACACGAAGCCGACCTGGTCGGCCGTTTTCGGCAGATTCCGAGGTCTGAACCCGGTCGACGATTAAAAAAATGGATTTTTATTCGAAAAGTAATACCGCACAGGCCTAAACTCCGCACGCGATCGTGCGGTCGGATTTAAATGAGTGCGAAAATGAATATTTATATTCTCAAATTTATAAGTGGGCCTTTCAAGGCGGGGAAAATCCGCCTGACAGCGAGAGTGGGCCATGCCAAACGATACAGTCTGCCAAGAAGCAAGAAAACATAGTATTGACATTATATACGAGGTACAAAACTCATACAAGTAAGTTAGAAGCTATACAGATAGAAAAAAGACGACGAAGGGGCGTGCGAGGGGTGGAGGGGGATAGACGAGCAAGGCTCAGAGGTCCGCGTTGGACGACAACCGACGGCCTTCAACAAAATACGAGCAGCCCTGCTTTATAAATTAGCACGGGAGCTGTACGCACGAGCGGGTAACGTACGTTGAGGGACACGCGCGAGCGCGCCCGCGCGCAAAGCGAGATTGTCACTCGCGTCCTCCGAGGAGCGAGCTAATCAGGTCCAACAGGGCGGTCAGCGCATACGGGGCGAGTCGCCACGTCGGGCGCAAGGGCGAACGACGAGAAGAAAGACGGCGAGGGAGGGGAGGGCGATGACGGCGAAGAGCAAGTGGGACAAAAACAGACAAGTCGCGCGACGCGCGTTCCGAATGCCCGGCAAACGCCGATTGGCTGGTGGATCCCGAGCCTCTCCGATCCGACGCGTCAGCCGCGAGAAGTCGTTCGACCTTTCTTTCTTCCCCCCATCATCCCCGCTCCTCTCCCGCCCATCCTCGCGTCCCCACCGGCGGTCCTCTCGTCTGTCTCGCCGTCGTCGTCGTCGTTGTCAGGCTTGAACGACGGGTGATCGTCTCCGTCGCTATTGTACGTCCTCGGCTGCCTGGCGCCGACGCGCTGGCATTGGTCCCGCGTTCCGCGCCTCGTCGTTAGGTACGCCGTGTCCTGGTAACCGTGCAACGCTCTGCTCACGAGCATCTCCTCAGCCGTCGTGGATCGCTCGCCTCGCATTGTCGTTTAGGTACGTCGCGACTCGTGCGCGCTAGGAATATAGACTAACTAAGCTGTTCTGTAGCGTTTCGGCCGCTCGCCCGCTCGCGACGTGACCGTCCCCACATTTGTTGCCTGCCGCTCGTCACCCGACACGAACGGGCTTGAATTTGCGTCCCGTCGCCGCTGTTCTAGGTACGTTTTACGGTCGTCTGTTATCGCGAACCGGTATTGATTCCGTCTCAGGTCGTCGCGCTCGCTTTGCGTTCTTCGCGCTTGGAGAGACGCACGCGCTTCGCTTCGCGATGCGATCCTGCTCACTCGCAGTGGCTTCGTGCCCGCGCTGGTGGGCGGTCCTCTGGCCGCAAGTGACGGCGCTTCGCGCCGTTCTTCGCGCTGCCCGTTGTCGTGTTTTGACGGCTCGTATTTGTTGTATTCTGTATCATGTTTATTGTAGAACTGTGTGTATTGCACTCCTAGCCCTATGTATATCGTTTGAGGCTCTTGATGTACGCCCCGAGGGTGCTAGCTACGAATAATGCTATTTTTTTGCCTCCACTTAATCGCTGACATAATCGGCTTGGTGTTTCTGTATCGCCGTGTTCCTGAGACTTCGGCGATAGAGGCCAACCCGGTCGGCCAAGGCTGACCAGGTCGGCTTCGTGTACCGGTATGGGCCGACCCAGATGGGTCGGCCCCTAGTGGTGCGAGACAGACAGCCTCGTCGACCAGCCAATATTTGCTAAATGGGTCGTATGGACACCTTTGCGGCGCCTCGAAAAGCTGGGCCTCGTCGTGGACCACAAGTACAAGCCGGGCGATCAGTGGGAAATCGATGAAGGGCGTTTCCGGCAGGGCATGGCCGTGGAGGGGGTGCGTAGTAATCACTCTTACTGAATGTAACTAACCAGTGCTATAGGCATGGATGGCTCGTGTTGTCGGATGGGCGGTACTTCGGCGGGTGCCGATACATAAAATCCTGTATGCGACGTACTCGCGAGTTCTCGCCGCTGCCCGCGGGGCCATCGATCTCGACCAATGCCTCTTCATCAATGGCGAGCTGTATGAGGCCCAGCTCGCTCTGGACATCGACTCCAGCGATTACAGCGCGCTAGAAGACCTGGACTATGCGTTCGAACGCAAATTCAACCCCCCCACGAACTGGTGGAGCCATCTCCACCCCACTAACACGGCCGGCGCCG